CATGCCAATCCCTCCGAGAGTTGTCATGACAGAACTACATTTAAAGTTAATATACTTTAAATTAACTAAATTGCAACTTCATTATTACAAATGTGTACATTTAAATACGTGACATGCAAGTTTCAACAGAAATGACATGAAAGCATATCTTAGTAAATCATTGTCAATACAAGGTGGTAACATTAAGATTAATATTTCTGATTGGGTGTTTAATAAATTCTCTCTTTATTGAATCTACAGACTGGTCCCACTGATCTCCGGCACTTTGACCCAGAGTTCACCCACTTACCCGTGTCGACCTCTCTATGCAACACCGATAACCTGCACGTGACCAGCAGCGTACGGGAGGCTGCCGGAGCATTCCCAGGCTTTTCTTACGGTCCCCCGGCTGACCATGCCTTCCAGTAATGGCTTCCATGACCCTCCAGAACGTCCATTCCAGCATCGCTAGACGCATCCAGAAGAAGGACCACAGTGTGGGACACTTAGCTCTTCCGATTTATTTGAATGCACGACCTGGCAGCACAAGGGACACTCGTGCATTACCAACACAAACTACAGTAACAACAACTTCCAGAAAAGATGCAATGTGTGCCAATGGATGCAGAGAGGACTTGAGCTCCTAGAGAGAGAGCTTAGAAGTGCCTGAGAATTTAACTGATGATCTGTGGAAAAAAAAACAGGCATTTGTACAACAAGCTATTGCTTGCCAGAGACAATGGCACCAGCTACTAGGCGAAACGCCTTTTGTGATCTTTTACATTTGATCAAAATGTCTTTGGATGATGTTTTATTTAATTGCATTTTTCATGCATCATTGCACAGTGGAGGTAAAGGATCAAGAAAAGTACAAAATACATGGATGGTCCGAAAAAGGGGTTATTATATCAACCCCCACCAATACAAGAGGATACACAGGCTGTCCGACTCAAATATCAATAAATTTTTACTGAATACAAATGTTAATTTAATAACTGCATTATTTATCATACTGCATTATATTAGTGTGGTTTAGCTTAACTCTTCAGTCCTACTTAAAACTTCCTAAGCTACGTTTAGGTTTATATTAGAAGGAAAATGAGTTAAACAAGGCTTTTAGCTGTGATTATTTGTCTGAATGACTAGAAGATATCCTGTGTTCCTCCTAAAATCAATATTTTGTCTTACAAGTACTTTCTTACCTTTTTTTTTTCTCCAATACCAGCACTTTTACACAAAATGCCAGACACTGTGTTTCCTGTGAAGGCAATTTTAGTAGTCGCACATCACATTCTGTTACATTTAGTGAGATGGATGTATGTTTTATACATCTGTTTATCATTGCTATCTGAAGTGATTGCTGTCCATTGCAAACACAGCATGTCGATTAGATTGTATTGAAACCTTTGCATCATGTACAGAAGTTATGTAGGAGCCCAGAAGGAACTTTGTCTTTTTTTGTTCAAATTGTGCCTGTACAGCTAATTTATGTACATTGTGATACATGTGTGTCTATCATGCCTGTCTGTATCACTCTGGGTTGGACAGGGACATGGAATGCTGTGCAATAGAAATGGTGACTTGATAGAGATGTGAACAATTTGTCATGGGACGATTGAGTGGTATCGACTTAATGAAGGAGAGGGGTTTGGATGCCCTCATGAAACGCATCCCTGTTTTAATTGTAATATATTTCATATATCATTGGACCAATAATGCGCTATACATTGTTCTTTAGATAACTGCAAACATGGCAATATGAATAAAGTTTATTTTCTTCCATTTTTGGAAGTTATTCATATATTGTTTTATATTTTTCCATGTATATTTATTTACATGTTGCATATTTTACCTCTAATGATCAGAGTATTAAATTCTTAGAATACCGAAATATTGAGAATGATCGATATGAATGCAAAATAAATATGTAAAAATTAATCTGTATGTCTTAGTGTACTTATTCCTCACCTTAGTTTTGATGTTTAATTTGCAATGCGTTGATTTTGCTTATTGTTCACACAGGGATCTGCACCAGCATCTTCGCAA